AAGGTAAGTTAAACATTTTGTTATTTATGATGCAGATTACAGGTTGTTAATTGGAATATTTATATACCACTAGCCTAAGATCTGCATTAAGCACGGGTCTCTTACGCTTGAACACGAAATTTCAACCGCTTATCCAGTGTTTATGAAAACGTGCTAATGCCTCATAAGGTTAGTGGGCGTAAGAAGTCCCGGTACGTAATTTTAAAAGACCAGAAAAAAGATTTCCACTTGCACATATCAAAAATTCAAGCTAACGGAAAGTCAACCAAGCTTCGGACATTCATGAACATCAGTGGAATTGCTCACCTGCTGACCCATCATGGGTTGCTGTTGACTCATCATCTGTTGCTGTTGCGCCTGCTGTTGACTGATCATTTGCTGCTGTTGCTGTTGTACCATCATTTGCTGTTGACGAGCATACATTCCTTGGCTATCGCCTTGACCACCGGTGCCACCGACCATCATTTGTTGCTGGATTTGTACAGCACCTAGAATAGCGTGTACGTCGTCTTCGAAAAAAAAACCGTGCAAATAAGGTCGACATTTAATAGCCTAAATGACCAAGAAAAGCAACAAAGGTTGAAAGAACCACTTCTTACTACAGTGTTTCAAATGCCATTGGTGAGGCGCTCAAATGAACGCAGCATTCCAGATCATGATTGTAAAAACAAAGAATAGCAAATGCAAAGAACAGCAAAAAAGTGAACCCTAAACCTACTATACGCCTCTCATTAATTCGATAGCAAAAAAAATGTTACAGTTTCTCAGCACACTTCAGGTCATACTTATACCAGCAGGATCAACCGACGCGTTCGCACCGTAAGCTAGAGCTTAAAAATCAAGCCCTAAGCCAGCTACATCTTACTCAATTAAGTGGTACAACAAAACTGGATACTAAAATCAGTTCTTTCAGTCTCGTCCAGGATTCTTACCTGAGCTTCCTGCAATGCCTTGTGGATACCCATGCGGTATTTGTTGTTGCTGTGAAGAGAATCCTCCGCTCGGATCAAAGTGTTCTGTTGGAGTCGGTTGCCCTTGCATAATTCCTTGTTGTTGCTGCTGTTGCTGGGGTGTCATTGGTGCACTGCAGACCGATGGACTCCCAATGGTACCTGAGCAAGAGAACATCGTAATTCTAGCTACAAAAGAATATTTGAAGATGAATGTATGGAATTCTGGCTCTGGTAGAATACATTTAAGTGTTACCAATCAGAATTAGCTTCCACAGCACGGTGTTGCAAGTACTACAATAGCAACATCCGCGAAGTAACAAGGTAAAGCAGCTAGTTAGGAAATGCTAGCCAAAAGAGGAGAACACACACCTTGTTGCACGTGCATATTTGTCGGTGTACCCATACGCGGCTGCATTTGTCCACAACCGTCCATGACTAAATGGTGAGGAATCGTAAAATCTCAACGAGGTCACAAAGCAAAGATTAAAAACGAAAGGAAATGTTCCACATTTAGGAGAGAGCGTAAAAAAGCTTCCATAACACCATACATAGATGTCAGCCATAACCATTAAGTAGGAAGGAGAAAGGTGTGCTCAATTTTATGGACAAGGCGCAGTGCACGGGCAACAGGAAGCGACACCAGGGCAACGCTCCCCACCAAGACGCTGAACGTATTTTTCGACTCGACGTGGGGCAAATACTTGGAATGACAAACGTCACTCTGAGAAAATACACCAAAACGAAAACGCATCAGGAAATATGACACACACCTAAAATTAAATCAGAAACACAGCAGATGTCTTCACTCGCGCGTGCATGTTACAGTATTGAGAGCAAAGAAAAGACTAATTTTTAAGGTTTCGATTTCAACCCATTTTCAGTAAAGCACTATAAAATGAATAGAACAGAAGAAAATTTTCTGGTGAGATTCAATCACTTCCAAAAGCTAAACGTGACATTGTCTGATTAGGCATCAGAAACCCACACAAAAAAAAACGTCGTATCAACGATATTTATCTATTCCTGGCATATACACACAGAAATGAATAACTTAAAGCAACAATCCAGGAACGAATTCGCGGGTAAGGACCACCTATAATGACGTTGCAGGTGAGAAGTTGGTCAATGGAGAAAGAAAAAGTAGAAAAAAACGTCGGGCAGGGGCTTAGACAGGGACTCCCCCTGCCGTTTAGGGAGACGTGTGTTGGACGAGTTGTCCGAACCTGCCCGTAGTACATGCGCTCCAATTGCAACTGCTGGCAAATAGCCATGCATGCTTGCAAATACATAACTATTTGCCAGCAATCGAAATTGAAGCGCTTCAATTGCGTTCTTATGGAATCGACCTCATACAGCGCGGCGGTCCCGCAACGACCGCTAGTCGAGCAGCGCTCTGCACAGCGTATGTTGAGCGATCCGCCTCGGTATGGGTGATCCGCCCCCTCCAAGAGGACTTCGACCCCTTCCAGCGCATTTTAGAGGTAGGTTTTGAACTTAAAGACATTTCCTATAAACTTTAGTTGGGCTGGGGCATGTTTTGACCGCCTAATGACCAAGTAGTTGAAACCCTGCCTGGACTGTTGCTTTAAAATGAAGATGTCTCATGTTCTCATCGAGCGCGAAGAAAACGGGAATGGTTTCCAGAAATTATAAATTTTTTATGCTTAGATTCAATTCGAAAAGATACCGGCTCTCGTAATTTCGCATTAAGTTTGGGGGAGAACTAACATTCACACAGAACACTGAATATAGTAAATTTACGAGACATAATGACCATTGAATATTCGTACACAGGCAATGCATACATATATGGTGGGGGAACGTCAAATGGAACGAAATACTTCAGCAAGGACCGGCCGACCGGAAGCAATCAACTCATCAATAGTGATCGTTCACAGATTATCAGAGTTAGAATGAGCTAAACTGCCTCGAAGATGATGCAGTGGTAGCACTACACTGAGCACAAGAATAGAGCACCACGGGGGCAGCGGAAGTATCCAATCCAGCCTACGCTGTGTCTCTGCCGCCGCACTCTCGGCCATGAGTCGGTGGTGTGCGTGTGCGGTGGCAATCTCTCGCAGCGCTTAGAACCTCACTCTATCGAAACGCCAACTCCCCTTCTCTCTCCACTCTCACGCTCTCACCCATTTGCTTACTGCCCTAAAAAACAGACGACACAAGACCCGATGAACGTAAGGCAGATTTCACCCATTGGCCAGTAACCACTGATATTTTCGATTCACGATGGTGAACCCGCAAAAGTTAATCCAGAACGTTTCAGATTACATTTCTCAAAAGCACACATTCATGAGGCACGAAATTTATCAGTGGCAAGTTCATCAGTAATGCTACTGAATCAGGGTCAACCGTCCGTTGGACAAAGTATAAGTTTGGGCTGTGTCGACTGGTCTCAGAATCGAATACTATAGAATGAGCCCCATGATGGCGATGGCAGGCGAGGGTGGTGAAGGGTTGACCCTGAGGGGGGGGGTCGTATCGAGGCCCTCTAGAAGGGGAGGGGGTCGTAAAATTTTCGAAATCGGTCCAACGTGACGGTTGACCCTGCACTGAATGTCGTGTAAGTTTAAGTGGTAAAAAACTGGAAACATTTAGCCACTTTTACTTTCTTTTACTTTTCTATTTGTTGGGGTCTGCCGTGACACGTAGGTTTTTTTTCAATACTACGACTTGGTAAGAATAAAAGATAAAAATGGGTTGAAAAATGGGTTCAACGAAAGGGGTAAAATTCAGTCTGAACAATGGAAAGAAAAACGATCAAGATTGGGATAATATGGGCATTAAAAATGAAATTGGATCCACAAAAACACACCTTTAGATGGTGGAGACATAATGGATGGACTAGCAGCTGGTGATGAACGAGGCCACTGCTGAAACAATCGTCAATTGTACGAAAGTTTAGGACGGATCACAACACTTGCCATGAAACAAGGCTTTTTCATTGGCATTGCTCACTTTCAGCACATTAGACAAACTGCTTAGCAGAATCTCCATTTAATAAGCATGCTGAAAGTTTCCCGTTAGAATCCAACTCAAACAGGACTTGAACTACAAAGAATTGGAGCAAATTCAATTTACATGGAAAAAAACCATAATCTTTGAAATCTGGTCCAAAACGTGGAAAAACAACATGACGTCCGTTTCTAAACGTTTTCGTGAAGAATGAAGAAAATTAAAAATATACCTGTTGAGGTGGCCCTGGGACCAAAAAACGATCATTATTCGGATGTACGACCGAACCAGCAAGACCAACTCGATCAACAACCATATGGGTGATTCTGGATGGATCCAGGTGACCTAGAGGGCTATCCATGTCGCGATTCTGTTCCTAAACAGCAACGCTTTAAAACTCTCATAAAATGGTTCACCAAGAAATCCAGCGAGCGAACGAAACCCAGGGAAGAACCAGTGAGAAGTTAAGGACCTAAAGAACATCACTCTGAATTATCGAGGTGGTTGGTTTCAGACACCAGCTGATCATGTTTTAGGATTCTCCTCCTCGACTCAACAGTGTATGGTTGATTTAGTCCTAGCTGTCCTCAAACAGGCACCATAACTGCCTGTTTCTGATTCCTCGAATGGCCAAATTGTGAACGGTCTCACGCACCTCATGACGTCTTTGAAGGGCGATGCCCCTAATATGAAACTTATTCCTGAAGGAGTATCGGGACGGACCATACAAGGGAAAGACAGGGAGTGCAATTTTTAACCGGGGATGAACCACATCGTGGATACATTTGGTCTACGAAAATTTGAAAACAAGCAAAACAAAGGAAAAGACAAAACAGACAAAGGATTAACACTTACCGCTTGTCCCTCACTTCGTCGCCACAATCCACATTTTCGAAATTTCGATTACATCCATTAGTGGAAGACATTGAACTTCTCCAACCACCAGGTAAAAAATATGGTCGAGGAGATAAACTAAATATTATAGATTGAAAATCAAGAATCCGGAGATGTTCGAGCGGTGCGAAGAAGTCATCTCGTTATCACTACAAAATAAAACGATACAGAATCTGGGGGAAGTGAAAGTTCTAAACGTCGGCACGAGTATCGAAACCGATTTAGAACTTCACAGAGATTCAACTCACAGTACACTTCCAATTCTTGAATTTGAGGAACCCTATCCTAATATTTACTTCGGAAGTTCAATGCTTTCGCAACCGTGAACAGTACTGCGGCTATCACAGCTTGCGCCGAGATGGAGAAGGCCAAAAGACATGACACACTCAAATCACTCCGCGATAAAAAATTGTACAAAAAAGAGAAAAGAAAGACACCTATGAGCATTTTCTGATGGAATAATCTATACGATTCCGATCTCTCGAGAACATTTTTCGATTCTTCCGGAAATTCGGTCAATGATCGCAAATCAGCAGCTAGACCCTAAAGCCGTTGTTTTTCTTGAACAAGGTTGTTGACCCAGTAGATACATATCTGACCTTTTGGAAGATTCTCTGAATAGTCTTTCACGCAAACTGGAAATGGGGCCTTAAGCGGTCACCTCCTTCGTCTGGAGAGTGTCCACGGTATCCTAGGCTGGTGTCAGAGTCCGCGATCCGTCGCATTTTCGCGATTTTCGCGAAACCTGCGATGGATCACAGGAGTTGGAAGTGCCCGATGAATACTGCGAGGTGCCGTTAATCCTGCTGCGAATTCTGCTTGACAGTGAAGATTGAAAGACGACTGTTCGTGATTCTGCCCTATAACGTGAAAAAAGTGGGGGAGGGGTTGATCGGGGCACTTTCAATTCCTGTGATTCGTCGCAGG